TCTATCATCAGGGATGTTCAATCAACGCTCTTGTGCTTTGCTGACAAAATAAAAATTAACAATGATCCTAACTTTTAGATTTCCAATCTTCTACCTTCAGCAGCCACTTAGTTTTCATTACTCCATGTAGGGATTTCACAAAGTAATGTCCTAAAAGGTGTGGTTTAATAAACATGGTGAGCAGCCACTTGAACATACCTGTACTATCATAATATAAATAAATATATAAATATATATATAAATATATATATAAATATATATATAAATATATATAAATATATATATATATATATATATATATATATATATATATATATATATATATATATATATCAACTGAGAATATCTTTGAGAGGGAGAGAAATATTGACTCTTGCATCATACATATGTGCCCTGACCAGGAATCAAACATGCCACCTTTTGGTGTATGCGATAGTAACTGAGTTACCCAGCCAGAACAAACATCTCTCTCTCTATATATATATGTAAATTCTCCCCACAAGGTATTTTTTTTAGAGTGGGAGGAAGGTGAGAGAGACACATTGATTAGTTGCCTCCTGCACATGCTCCAACCAGGGCCAGGGATTGAAACTATAAACAGATATGTGCCCTTGACCAGGAATCAAATCTGATTCTTCAGTGTACAGGCCAGTGCTCTAACCATCAAGGCACATCCGTCACGGCTATATTTTTAAACTTAGCATTTAAGAATTGTATAGCTAGTAATGATTTTCAAATCATCTCACCATTTCCCCCCCCTGTAAACAGGTCACTCACTTTCTTCTCTTATATAACCTACTAGAGGCCCGTTGCATGGAGAGATTTGTGCAATAGGCCTTCCTTCCCTTGGCTTCCAGCACCTGTTTTCCTTAGACACTGGAGACCCAGGCCTTCATACAGGCCGGAGTCTGGCACCTTTGCTGTAGACTCCAGCCAGTATGCCGCCTTTGTCTTGGCTGCAGACTCTGGTTGGAATATGTCATCTTCACTAGACCCTAGCAGAAGTCTGCCATCTTTGACTGCTACAGACTCCGGCCAGAGTACTCTGTTTTCCCTTTGGCCACCCACACCTTCCCTCTCATAGTAGGCATCTTGCCCTACCCAGCCACTCCTCACCTGGAGCTCCTGGGCTGTCGCCATCTTTCTCCTCTAATTTGCATATTTCCTCCTGATTGGGTGGCAGGCGTAGCAGGATGATTAATTTGCATATTTCTCTTTTACTAGTGATCATTTACTCTGCCAGCATCATTTCATATGCACATGCCTTTTTGTTACATTTTGTTTAATCAATTTTGCAAATCTTTATATTTGAAAACATTTTTCTTTATTATATTTTAAAAACTATTTTTCTACTGGTTTGAAACTATTCATTACCTTTCCTTAAAAAAAACTAATTTCTTTATATTAAAGGTCATGCTTTAAAATTTATTATTAGCACTATTAATGTTAGGTACTTTTTGCTCTTTTTAGTTGTGGGATTATGATAACTTTCACTATTAATGACGGGGTCTTTCTTGATTAAAGTATAAATTTTGAATTAAATTTACAATAATTCTGTATTTTCTTCTAGGTCGTCTAGGAGTACTGCTTCTCAGGTTTCGATGAACATATTAGAGCTGACCTTCCCACACGCCTCTTCACCATCTGGCAGCACTTTGAGGCCAACTAGTTCTAGCAGTAGTAGTTCCGGTAACAGTAAAAACAAAAAGAGCAGCACGTAAACATTTTAATCTCTCGAACAAACTATAAACAAAAACCCTCAAATTTCACTTTTAAAATAATAAATTTCACTCTATACTTTGGGTGCTATAAAATGGTATAGAGTCCTACTGAAATAGTGTGGAAAATGAAATGACCAGGCAAGTTTTATCAGTGAAAAATGGTAGTTTAAAGTCAAGCTAAACTTTCTTATCCTATTCTTCATATATTAAACCTGATTTTAACAAGGTTACATATTACACAAGTGTAGGGAAAACTGTGTTTTTCCACTGTTATTTTTATGTCTGTTAAAACAGAAAATAGTTGACTTTATTATTTCACAATAGCCATGCAACTATGCTCACTTAGAATCTTTTAGGAAGAAATGTTTAAAGATAAAGACTTCTAACACTATTAAAATTTTCACTTATCCTAGAAGATCCTGAAATTAAGTTTTTTTTTTTATTCAAAGAAATATACTTCCCAGACTTTTTGGGGAAAAAATGTTAGTTTCTTCTTTGATATAATTTACAAAATGTTAACCAAAATATAGCATTGCCCTCCACCAAGAAAGCAATTGCTAGGAAAGAGAAACAATGAATATCAATAAAAATGCAGCTCAAATTTTTAGGGATCAATCTACTTTGATCTTGAAAGAAGTCAAACACAGTAAACAATATAAATATTTATAATTATCATTGTTTAGAACTGTCATTTGCAGTTCCTTGAAAGGCAGTAGTAATATTAAATGTTTGGCTGAAACATTATTCCTAATGTGTGAGACTTTATTTAATAAAACCTAAAAACTAATTTTATAGTTACTTTGTTCTTATTTTTTGCCCTATATTACTCTGTAAATTACTTGGAACTTGAAATATTACATACTGTTCTATGAAGGCAGGAATTGCATCTACTAGCTCTGTGACCTTGGAAAGTTAGTTCTCTATGCTTCTTTCATTTGTAATATAGGGACAGTAACAGTTAACTACATAAAACATTTCCTGAAATAACTGAATGTTTATAAAATGCACATGGTCTGACACAGAGGAACTGCACAGTAACTTCTATCCATTGAATTGCAACTCAGAACCTAGCACAATATTTGTGGAATGGTTAGGCTCTCTGGCCAGAATAGAACTCTACATTTAACTGTGAAAGTAACAGTTCCAACTTCAGTATAGTAATGCTAATTGATGAGACAAGGGATTAACCTTATTATCTCCACATTAGGCATTATCTTAACATCCACCTATTGTAAGAAAGTCAACTATCATTTATTATGGAAACCAAGAAACAGCCTATGTATGTATAAACTATAGCCATGATGTTATGGAAAAAAACTGAAGATATCATTAGGGATTCTTGACTAGTACCCGTATTTTCCAGTATATAAGATGACCTTTGAAACGAAAAAAAGTCAACCGAAAATCGGGGGCAAAAGACCAAAATTGCATAAAAATTACCTGTAGATCTTGACGGCAAAGTAAGTCTTTTCTTTGAAGTGGGGGAGGGGGGGTAGTCTTATCAGCGAATATAGGCCTAAACCTGTTTTAACTGTAAAATTAGGGGGTCGTCTTATACACTGGAAAATACGGTATATCCCCAATATTTTTTACTGTGATGGGTTTCCTGAATACATCCTTAGAAAATAGAGTGTATATTCTGCTTAAGTGTACTATGTCCCAGGAAAGCAGCTCTGGAGAAGATGAAATTTCTAAATTTAGGCAGGCTATTGTACAAGGTACTAAACCTGAATTTTTTTTGGGGGGTTGGGGGGGTGGGGGGGGAGTACCTAAATGTAAGCTTAAGCCACAAAGATGGTTTGGAAAATTACAGTGCTTGTTGATGGTGATGCTGAAGACAATTTTATTATATAAAAATGGTGTATGTAAAATTCCCATCACTAAAATCTGAAAGTCACAAATCATATACCCTGTTAGTTTACTGTTGGAGAGAATGGTGATACAGAACAAAGAATGAAAGTGTCTCCCTCCTCAATCATTCTTAGACCTTTTATAGATGGATGCTCAGCTATTTCCCAACCCTTCCATCCAGAGTCATCATGAGTGATAGTCTTAAAAGTCCATTAGCATTTCGTGTTTAAAATCTTAAATTCGCAAGATTCTAAAGGCTATTATAAGCACAACACTATGACTCCTATCTCTGTCTCCCTAATAATAAACTATACTCTCTTTGATAATCTGGGGAGGAGCCTTACAATCCAAGTCCCTTCTTCAGTTCTAGTTCCTGGAATTTATTCTGAGTAAAACCAAGCTCTGTTGGCCTAGTCTTATTCAGACCCTGAGAAGAGGTACCGTACCTGGAAAAGCAAAGGGGGAGTGGAGGTGTCAAGGAAGAAAAGCGGACCTGCAGGCCAGCATTAGCCTATTTAAAAGTATGCTGTGTTACAAAACAGACATCTGCAATACTAGGAGTTTCCGATTTATTTCTAGAGAAAACCAGATTTATACTGTACTTCTCTATTTTTGCTAGAATTTTTTTCTATCCTGATCAATTCTCACTTTGAACGTAGCCTCTAAAGTTTTGACAATACTTGAAGTTAAATTTCTTAGGGCTATGCTACCAAGCGATAGGTAGGTAGACAGACAGACAGACAAATAGAAAGAAATAAGTAAAATAGGTCCCTATTTAATGTTCATGGCTTTATTCCTAAGGTACCTGTTAAGCTGGTACACAAGTCTCTTGTAATTAAATCAGACTTTAGAGGCCAAATAGTCAAGACAGATAACCTGCCTATCATTTTAAAACAACAGTTATATAAACATTTAGTATTTAAACAAATGGTAAACATAAAATAGTAAAGAACATATCTCTTTCAAAAGTTGAGGGCTTTTAATTCAACAGAAAGAGAATGAAATAATTTTTGATGAAGAAAAAAACCAGGTGTTCAGTGCACAAATTTAATTTTCTCTCAAACAGCAGGATAAGGGAGACCCAAGGAATTCTCATACCCCAAAATACAATGAAGAAACAAGACTTTGAGAATTATCTTTAACTGAAGTTTAAATCAGAGTAAGGAATACTATACATAAACGTATATATGAAAAGTCTGCAAATCGTAGTTTCACAATAGCTCTGAAAGCATTTGCTGAAAAAGAAATTGTTATAAAGATTAAATGATAATGAATGTAAAGCTTTTAAGAAAAAAGCATTTGCTTTCTGCAATCTCTACAAAAAAATAATTTTAGGAGTAGCGATTTCTACACTGGACTATTATGATTAAAAGATTAAAAACTTTTATTAGCAGCCTTTAGTAAAACAGTGCTGATTCCCTTGGCATATTACTTTTTTTGTTTATTTCCTTTTTCTTTCTCAAATGCAGCTATCTGATTAAATATATTGAGTAAATTCTGAGGTAAATTTTTTTTAGCTCCACTTTCTGAATGCTCCTTGCTACTTAGCTCTTCTTCTTCTGGAGCCTCTGGTTTAATACTCTCCTCACAATTATCCTCTCTTTCATATTCTCTATGACTTTTACTTAATTGATATCTTTGCTCATGTCTATTGAAATCACGTGATCCAGAATAATTACATTTTTTATACTTTTCAACTGACTTAGAAGAGTAGTCAGAGCTTGCTGGGGAAGTGGAATACCTCATTGAACCCGGCTCCCACTTTCTATAGTGCTCTCTCCTTCCATCTGTGTCTTTTTCAAATTTTCTATAACCATAATTTTTTAACTTGTCTTCTGGATTCCTAGAGAAGGAATCTGAGGAATCCCTTCTATTGGAAAAATGTCTTTCATATCTATATGACTTTTCCGTTTTGCTACTACCTGCCTGAGTTTTATAGCTATTGTAAAAATCTCTTGAATCTTCAGACCTACCTCCAAAATCATCCGGAATTTCAACTGAAGATGAAGAGACTGAGCATCTATCTTTCTCTTTTACCTGCTTCTTCTGATATGGTACCCTATCTTGCTTTTCCAGTAGTTTTTCCACTTCTTGTCTTTGGTTAAGAAAAGACGCTGACGTATTGGCTGGAACTGGGAAGTACTCATCTTTCCTATTCTGATCTATCTGATCTGAGGATGCCTTAGCTGAATGCCTTTTGGAACTTCGAGAAGACTCTGAGCGATGCCTCCTATGTTTCTTATGCTTTTTGTGACCAGAAGAGGAAGAGGATGATGATGAAGAAACTGATTCATCACCAGAAGAAACACTTGAAGAGGAAGAAGTTGATTTTCTTCTTTTTTTCTTTAGCCTAAAAAAGTAGTTAATTCATCAGATGTTAAGCACAAAAATGCTTCTTAATTATCCATAAAGCTGTTAGTTCTATTTTGTTCCCCTTAAAGACTTCATAAAAAGCTGTGGCTTAGATAAACAATTATAGTAATCTTAGTTACTCTAAGATCCACTTGTACCAGCAAGCGCTACTTATGGGGGAAAAATACTTGTGTAGACAGTTGTCACTCTAAGCAAAACCATTTCTGTTAGACACTGACATTTCCAACATTGCCTTAAAAACAAGACCAGCTAAACACGTAAAGGAATTAAGATTTTATATCCAACCACCTCTAGAGCATAAACTCTCTACCTCAACACTACTGACATTTTGTTGGAAGCGTAGGGTGGCAGTGTGGGGGAGGAGGGGCCCTACACCACCACGATAGAATGTCTAGCAGCACCCTTGACTGCTGCCCACTAGATGCCAATAGCACTCCACCAGTATCACAACCAGAAATGTTCCTTGGATAAAACTGTCCCCAGTTGAGACCACTGCTCTATTTCTAAAACAATTCTCCCTAAAATACATATAATTAAAATAACATTATGTATTATATTTCAAATGTAAGGTTACAGTAATTCTTTTTTACCCTCAGATTTCTAGCCTTAAAATTCCACTTTCCTTAAACTCTCAAAAATTTCTGGTATACATAATTGCTAAGAATAACTGGTTATGATATGAAATGCTTTTATATTTTTACTTACTTTACCTCTATATGGCACTGTGGTTCAACTCAGTAGTTGCTTTAAGTTAAAAAAATACTGAATGTTACAGTTTACCTTTTCTCCTCTTTTAAGAGCTTACGCAACTTTTCTGCACTTGTTTCTATTTTCTTTGTTTTCTGCTTTTCTTCCTTTTCAGCTTGTTTTTCTCTTAATTCCAAAGATTTCTTTTAGAACCCAGATATCGGAAAAAACCACATGTTAAAAATAGAAGAATGTTTAAAACCCAGTTTTCAAAAAAACCACCCCCCACCAGAAACCAAATGTGGTATACCCAAATCACCACATATCCAGCAGTAAACAAGTATTTTTAACACATAAAAATTAATCATACAGGTGTTTGGCATCAATCATTGGAATAGTCAGAACAGTATTGAGGACCATATTGCAGTTGGTATTCCATGAAAAAAGGGGAAGCCATTGCATTGGTACCCATAACCCAGAGTGCAAGACGGGGAAAAAATAAATAAAAGTTATTTCAAAATTTAAAGAGGACACAGATTGTAGAAATAAAATTCAAATACATTCCATTTAGGTGAATTGAGGGAGGAATCACCATGTTCAAATACAAACCATTTAAAAAATAGCACAGCCCAGTTGGACGCATGATTACATAAGAAATCATTTTCCAGTTTGAGGATGGGGATGAGCAGCACCAGATGTCACAGACACAGCAGCAACGGTCCAATTCAGAAAAAAATGCATGAGAAAACATCATCATCAGTATTACAGGAAAAGACAGTTTAAAATATCTCTCAAAAAGATTTTTAGAATTTGCTCAAGTACCATAACATCATTGAATTTTGTAACCACCAGGAAAGCTCACTACAAGGATAGTACTCAAAACCACACATCAAATGTAGGCAATTAGAATTTTCTTATAGGGCTATTTTTACTTTTGAGTACTAACAAATAAAGAAGAGGCATTATGAAGCAATGTCAAACTCAATTAGGAAAAGCTCTATATAGAAAGAAACTTTTCCTAATGCCTTAAGTAACCTACAATAATTCTCCACAGGAGAAAGTTAAGTTTTGGAATTAGTTTCAAATATCACTAAATTTCTAAGAGGAAATAAAGAATCACCTGCATATATTTATGAAGTTTCTGCAAAGCATCCTCTGCATCTTTAAAAGTCTCATCCAAATCCAAAGCTTTCTTATAGTAACTTTCAGCATTTAAAAATTTTTCTTCTTCTTCTAACCTAAATTTGAGAAGATGATTTAGGTTTTTTTTTTTTTTTTTTTTTTGTAAAAGTCCTTTTTTTGTAAAAGTCCTTAAATATACATACAGGTCTAGGGCTCATATGAGAGAACTTATTTGAAAAAAAATGTGTTTAGCAACTTACTTTCCAAATTGAGTAATATCTAAACCATAGCTTTAGACTTTTTTTTTGGTAAAGAGACCATGTAAAACTATATAAAACAGAATAAAATGAAACCAAACTCACAGATACAGGGAACTGATTGGTGGTTAATATTATAGGAGTGGGGTTTGGGGGGTGAGTGAAATGAGTGAAAGTGGTTAAAAGGTATAAATTTTTGGTTACAAGATTAAGTCTTGAAAATGTAATGTACAACATGGTGACTATAGTTTATAAAACTGTATTGTATATTTAAAAACTTCTAAGAGAAATCTTAATAGTTCTCACCACAAAAAAAAAAGAAAAAAAAGAAATGTTTATAATTATGTGTGGCAATGAATATTAACCAGACTTATTATGGTAATTACTTTGCAGTATATACTTAGAAGGTGGAGCCAAAGTAGATTTACAGTCATTCATATAAAAATAATTAACAAATAATAATGCACAAATAACTGTTTTGTGTACTCACTACTGTGAGTTGCCCCACCCTATATTTTAAACCACTATTTTGCACACCGGAAATAACATATTAAATGAGATATATTTCAGTTTGAAAAACAAAATAAACCCCCAACTAAAACAAACAAATAGGAATCCATTACTGGTAACGAATGCTATGCTGCGGGCCCAGCATTAGCATTTTGGTATAATGCATGATCTACTGATGCCCTCTGTAAATACAGTACGATGTCGACCTTTACTACAGAATTACACTGGCTAGCTTTTGCGAGAAGTTTATGAAGAATTTTCCTTCCCACAGAAATATTTTCTCAGAATATTTGCTGTTAAGTTGGAAATATCAACACATACATGTATACCACAACTAGCCTGTAGATAGGATCATTATCTGATGACACTCAAAAGTCTATGCTATCAAAAATAGGATTTAGAAAATTTGGTTATAAAGCAGTGAAAGGACTTTGCAATGTATTTTCAATTTTCAAAGTAGGAAAAAGTAATTACTGTAAAAGAAATTAAGAAAATCCCAATGGCTTCAAGTGGATAACTTTTGTGACAGATGGAATGTGGGAAGGGACCAAAGATGATTAACATTATGGCTTATGGTAACTGGATAGGTGGTGTTGCCATTCACTTAGTAAAAAGACACCAACATATGAGTAATAAGATAACCACACCTAACTAGGTACTAGCTATCTACCTAGTGAGAAAGTAAAAAGCTGCTCCAATCACTTGGATCTAAGTAGAAGTTCACATCAGGAGTTAACAAAAACTACAAAAAAAAAAAAAAATCTCAACTTGGAATTCTGGTATGATCATACAAATGGGAATGATCAGGCAAATTCAAAATATGCTATTAATTATACACTTTTAAAATTATTAAAGTTGTTAGAAAATTACTTATAATTAACATACATTCCTTCAAAATATTTTATAAATGAGACCAGTCTATTAGTCATTAAATATTTACAATACTTAATGAGTAACATAAGATATAGGGTTTGTTCTTAATATTTGCTCTTCCATTTAATCTGCAGTTTGTGGTTTTTACTGGACAGAGTAGAGCAATAAACTGAATATAACAGTGAAACCTTATTTATAATTAACAACAGGAGCTCTCAATTAATATTTCTGGTACTTTAATACTAAAATGATTAAATGAATTAAAAATTAAATTCTATTCAAATTTCTAGTGCATGTTCAGGAAAAGAATATGTACCTAATTTCTTGTACCTTTACATTTACATTTCTATGTAATGAGAATAGGCATATAGGACAATAAACTCAAATCACAAATATATTGAATTAGAATCTCAGTAATAAGAAAAAAAATGACTAGAAAATTTAAAGAGGACTATACTTAAAAAACATTGTCAACCAAATTCAAAACTAAGAATGGTCTGAATTGAGTTAAAGATGCTATTTCCTTATATTAAGATCTTATAGTAGTTGGTTGAACAGCGGACCTATATTACTGAACAAAGTCTGACACTTACTGCCCTCCTCTTTCTACAAGTGTCTGGCAGAGGTATTTTCTTGCATTCCTGTGAGTTGGACAGTTTTCCAATGCAAGTTCAAAGTCTTCTATTGCTTTGTTCAGACTTCCTTTTGTTGCGTATCTGGAGATATGAAACAAAGTAAGAAATTTATCTTGTGGGCTATGAATAGATCTTGTGCTCATTCACCTTGTAAATATTCCTTAAAACCCCCAATCCACTTACAATGCTCCACGAGCTACCAAAGCTTCCACATTTTGTTTGTCTATTTCCAGAGCCTTATTGTATTCATTCATAGCATCCACGTGGCGCCCAACTTTAAAATAGTCAACTCCAATCTTCACACTAAAAAGATAGTTGTAAAGTATCACAAGCATTTCAGAGTATCAAAACAAAATGTTAGCATGGGTAAAATTTTAAAGCAAATCAAATTTGGCTAATATTCAGTCTTCTATACTCGCCAAATGCCTAAATGCATTCTGCTGTTGGATAGGTTTGTAACAAATTTTAGGAAATTTAGTTATTAATATACCAATTTCTTTTGGAAAAAAAAAAAAGAATTATGATGTTGGCTAAAACTTAAGTCTGTTAAATTTACAACATAACACCATTTACACCTATAAGAAAGCTAATGTCAAAAACTCACTTTAATTCATTTATAAACAAACTTGGTCTTAATGATGCCATAAGAATTCCTTGCCTTACCCTAACCTTTTATGCCAGATAATTGTTGAAAGACAAAGTCTTCATACCATTTTAAAGCCCAAGATGAAGACTGTTTCTTCCTTAATGCAGAAGCAAAATCATCTTCAGAGAAATTTTTGCTATTAAAAAAAAAAGTCAAACCATATAAATATTTTTGTAATTATTGTTCACTGCCTGACAGAAAACAACACTGAAAAAGTGAATTTCAAGCAAGAAATTTGTATTCCATTTACAAAAGAAATTTCTTGAATTCTCAGGAATGACATTATTCTTAAGCATTATTTTTCTTTAGGGTTTACACAAAATTGTTATAATTGTTCTAAATCTTTCTCTATTTGGTCACCTGGTACAATTCTAATTACTTATAATAGACTTAGTTCCAGAAGGAGACAGGATCACCTACGTAGTTCATTCAACCTTTGTCATATTTGCTGCCACTAGACTTGGTATAGTTGAATATATCCCTCAGTTACGCCACTTTGGAGCTCTGCACCATTCAATACCTTATCACTTAATACAGTGTTTCCCAAAGTGTGGTACGTGTACCCCCAGGGGTACGGGAAGAGTTTGGTGGGGGTACACGTTGCACCGGAGTTTGGTGGGGATATGCACTGCACCGTCCTTAGCAGTGCTTAGCTGCACCTAATACATCCATTTTTATTTATTTATTTATTTTTGACGAGGGGTACTCAGTGTTACGAAAATTATAGAAGGGGTACACATATGTCAAAAGTTTGGGAAACATTGACTTAATAGAATAATACTGATTTACTATACCTTTGTAGGCCTCTCATTAAAGATGGTGGATTAGAGTCATCTATTCCTAATTTTCCTAGGAGGAATTCAACTACTCCCGGATTAGCAAATCCCAAGGAACTTTGCATGATACTGTCATAGGATTCCAAAGAATTGCTATTTAGTTCAACACTCCTCCTTAAGAAAAACAAAAAATGAAAAACAAAAAATAAATATGATTAGCATGTCCACTTCTGTTAAAGATATAAAATTATCGCATGAGGTTTAAATACTTATACTATAATTTGTACATGAAAGTGTGGCAATATCATTACTGGGTTCCTTTTGTAAAGTTTGAAGAAATTTAAGAACTTAAAAATATATGAGCATACTTTGAAATAAGAGAAATTAAAATTTTATTTTGTTGTTAGAAGTTGGACAAAATTTGCTATTTTTTAAAGTCAAGAAACTGTCTTAATGTAGAAAAATTACCTGTAGTACAAAGGAAGCTCTTCAGAACTAATTACACCTAATTTAATACCAGATAGGTTCGATGGAAGAGATGAGCTATACAGAGATACTGCAAGCTTTTCATGATATCTGTCGATATCCTTGATTCCAGCTTAAAAAATAAGAAAACTAAGCTGATTAGCAAGAAAATGCAAACACACAAAAATCCTTTCAAACACACTATTCTTATTAAACTACGTTTTCAAAATTAAAAATATCTGACAAATGTTACTTTTCTATTAATATGATGAAATTGATCACCTCGAATGATATCACCAGTTTGGTAATACGATAAAGGATCCCCATGGTTACTGTGAGAAGGCACATCTCTTAATGGACAAAGAGCCTGCAATGAGAAGTATTTTAAAACAACAGACTTCCTATTGATTGGTGAAAAGGGTATTCCTTTATTCTACTTGTTAAGTATAAACAGCTAACAGTTAATATAACCTTAAAAAAATTAACATCCTAAAGTCTAAATCTTATTTATTTATTTAAAAAATATATTTTGTTGACTTTTTACAGAGAGGAAGGGAGAGGGAAAAAAAGCCAGAAACATTGATGAGAGAGAAACATTGACCAGCCGCCGCCTCCTGCACAACCCCCACCAGGGATGTGCCCGCAACCAATGCACATGCCCCTGACCAGAATCGAACCCGGGATCCTTTAATCCGCAGGCTGACGCTCTACCCACTGAGCCAAACCAGTTTCGGCTAAAGTCTAAATTTTAGTAAGGATTTAAATTATAAGTCATTTCTGTGTCCAAACACAAACAATTTTTTTTTGAGTCAGTTCAAAAACTAAAATCCCATAAAATTTGCAATTAGTTTTAGGAACAAAATAGGAGTGTGTATGATAAAGCAAAAAGATATTTTACACTTGTTAAAAATGAAACAAAAATGTGTCCACTGTGAGAATTCCAATGAAAATGAAATATGAATTCTCCCAGGTGTATGTCCAGTCTGTGATATCTTCTGCTTTTCTTCATTTTCATCTGCCTTGATAGACAGCAAGTATCAAACCCTTTAAAGTGACATGTTATTTCAAATTCAGGACTAGTTATCTCAGGCAAAGTATCTCATAACATATACATCATGTTCAATTACTGCGAAGATATAAATAGGCCAGGAATTCATTTCTAAATTATCCATATGCAAGAATGTAATGCCAAATACTAAGAACAAGTTCAGTTAGAAAAATAAATAAATGCCCAAATATCAATCAATCTCACCATACCCATTGACATCTCTAACATTTGATAAAGGACCCTACCACTGCCAACCAAGGAGACCAAAAAAAAAAACTCCCAAAACCAGAAATGGAGGTTTGATAAGAATTTTTAAAAAAGAAAATGGTACTTTTTCTCTAATTAAAATATTTAATTTTCAAAACTGTCAGCAGGGTACAGTTAAGTACAACTGGATGAAAAGGCATAATTCTTTTTTATTATTGCTGTCAGGTTCTTTCTCTTCTTTTTCCCATCACCATTTATCCCCTCAATGCCCTCTTCCCCCGAACCCCAGCCCCAATCACCACACTGAGTTCTCTCTTCCCCCTCAATCAATCCCATCCTCTGGCCCTCCACCTGAGCTGTCTGCTTGCGTTCTCTGAGTCTATATTTTGTTTGGTAGATCAGCTTGTTCGTTAAATTCCACATATGCAGCCCTAGCCAGTTTCGCTCAGTGGACAGAGCATCATCAACCTGGGGATTGAAAGGTTCTGGGCTCGATTCTGGTCAAGAGCAGATACCTGTGTTGCTGGTTCAATCCTCTGTAGGGGGCGTGCAGGAGGCAGCCGATCAATGATAAAAAAAAACAAACCTCCACATATGCAAAACAATAATTCTTTCACTGAAGTGACTCAAAGACAGAAGCAATAAAGTGACTGAAAAATGAAAAACTTACTGTGATTTCCAAGTGAGATATATCTCTCATGATGCCACTGCCTAAACAAATCAACACCATGAAAAACCCAAATTCCCGAATGGAACTAATTCTTCCAATCACTATATCTCCACGCTCAATATCTCGGAAAAACAGCTCTCTCTGATCCATACTAGGTATTTCCATGAATTGCTCTAAAGGTGGCATGACTGCATAAGAATCTGGGGGGAAAAAAATGATTAACAACATTACAAAGCATAGTTTTGTGTCCTGTTTTATCCGAATGAAGTACTGTTACAATAACCGCAATCAAATGATTTTTGAAAGACACAGCTCACCTTCACCGTCTTCATTAACTTCAGGAGTTGCAGGTGCATCTGATTTCCACGAAAGTGCAAAAAGCAGATCCGCCTTTTTGGAAATGAATTTTTGTATTTCCGCGTTGTCGACTCTCTTCTCTTTTCTAAAGAAAACAACAACAACAAAATTTATGGAGACGACGTTTACTTGCAAAACCTTTCCGTATGTCCCAAGCATCTGCTCAAAGCTTTTTCATCGCCCCATCGGGTCCATCCTAAATCCCAGTCCATACATTATCGAAGAAAAAGTTTTAACCCTCACTGGCCAGTCGGTTGTTGGAATTTGGGGAAACTTCAAGAGTGATGCCCGCAGCTCCAGACACAAAAGCCGGAGGGATTTTAGCGAAAGAATCTGCACCTCTGCTAGGCAAGTACCAGGGAAATAAAAGTTCAGCCTGCATTCCGCAAGACCCTCACAAACCAGAAGCGCGGACCCTCCGCCATCCAGCCCTCCGCACAGTGCCATCTCCCAGGCTCCGGCTCCTTCCGGACTCCCCGCCCGGCTGTGGCAGCGGAGCCCCCGAGCCGGGTCCCCACCCCCGTCTGGGAGGTTCGCTGCGGCTTCATTACCTGCCTGGCCCTGGCTGCTGGGGCGGCGGACCCCGGGCAGGCTCGGCCGCCGACCCCAGGAGGCTCCGGAAGTGAGGGTTGTCCAGCTGCTCGCTCCGGAGCAAGGACAGCAAGGACGGCCCGTGGTAATTCAGCGACTGCCGCAGGAGGTCGCGGTCCATGGTTAGGGAGTGCAGGGCTCCACGACCGGTGTGCCCGCTCCACGAGCCCCGTGGTCCCAGGGGCCGAGCCAGCAGCCCGGCAGCCGCCGGAAGCACGCGTCACGGGCACTCGCTTGAAGTTGTCTCCCGGAAGTATTACTGCCTCCCGCCAGTCTCGCGAGATGGGGCGCGACTACGGGAGCCGGAAGGATTAGGCGGGGCATTTCCGGCGCCAAGGTTCTGCCAGTGGCCCTGAAGTAGTCCTGTGTATGACAAGGATACTTAAAACAAAAACAAAAACAAAAACAAAAATTCCGAGCTGTTGTTCTTCCATCGTAATGGCCCGAGCTCTAACCTAGGGTAAATGGTAATTCGCCCGTTAATGTAGTGAGACGCGTCTGAGTGCAAGTGCCCCAAACAACAGGTGAGAACTCGGAAGGTTCTTCCTCTCAAAGACTCGCTGGATAAATCACTATTTACGTCTCAGGCGTAACCACCCTAAAACCACTGCTGAGGGGGCTCTCCTCATAGGTTCAAGGGCAGAAGAAAGAAACACAGTAATATTTATTAAGCTCCGAAATTGTGTCCTCCATCCATAGCCCATTCACTGTTGGTTATGGTGTTAGCGCCAACTTAAAACTAGAATGACTTTTTAATGCCTGAACCTGTGAACAAATGCTTTGTTTTGCATTTTATCTAAGCGATTTCTCAAAATGTAGTGCCTAGAAGATGTACTTAAGGTGTTGTGTACACTACAGTAAATATAGGTGTGTGTGTGTGTGTGTGTGTGTGTGTGTGTGTGTGTTTGGTAATTCAAGTGATTTTCAAAGGTAATGGTGACCTATTGACTCAAGAACCTAACCACTTATCTCATATACTCTCATTTAAAACATTGAGGAAACAGGCCCAGAGAATCTCAGTAAATTGATCAATGCCATCTAGCTGGTAAAAGGTAGAGTTAGGACTCTTCACAAGCAGAATTGCTTGAAAGTTAAGTTTATTGTATAGAACAGGGGTGGAGAAACTTTTTTTCTGCCAAGGGCCATATGGATATTTATAACATCATTCCCCGGGCCATGCAGAATTATCCACTTTAAAATTAGCCTTCTGTTTTGGTCAAACTAACTCACCCCTAATGCCTTGTCAGGGCCAGACCAAATGATTTCAGGGGACTTATACGGCCCCTAGGCTGGATGTTTCCCATCACTGATACAGAAAGACTATAATTTTGAGAATAAGTTTTATTTCAATATAAATTTGTTGGATAGCTCATTTGGTTAGAACATTGTCCCAATATGCCAAGATTGCAAGTTAAAACCCTGGTCAGGGCACATACAAGAATCAATCACTGAATGTACCCTGTTTCCTCGAAAATAAGACATTGTCTTATAGTAATTTTTGCTCCTAAAGATGCGCTAGGTCTTATTTTCAGGGGATGTCTTATTTTTCCATGAAGAAGAATATTGTACACATTTATTGTTAAATGAAAATAAAGGAAATTTATTACCTGTATACGGTATGGTAGTAAGATAGTTGTCAACACAAACCAGACAAACTGTGAATCCTACAGTATCAAGAATTTACTCATTTATTCAATGACAATCATGTCATCATCTTCTGGAACATCATCATAAAAATCCAATTCCTGAATTTCCTGGTGAATTTCTTGTGACTCCATTTCTTTCAGAATCAGTGGACCAAATCTCTCATGTTTAGCCTAGGGGGGCCTTATTTTCAGGGGGATGCCTTATATTTCACTCAGAAGGAAACCTGTAAGTAGGTCTTATTTTCGGAGGATGTCTTATTTTCAGGGAAACAGTATATAAATGGAACAACGATTCTCATCAATAAAAATATCTATTGTTATGTTAACATCTAAAGATATTCGTAAACATTTTCTTAAAATGGGTAATACACTTGATTTAATTACTAAGTACATAGTGAAAGATGTTTAGATTACACATTTGCTACCATTTAAAGTAGTTATTTGTATTCTATTTAAAGTTCTTATTCAGGGTCATCCAGAGTTTACAAAAGGAAGAATGAAGAATACTAAATGGAAAATATGGCTAGATCAGCCAAAAATCCATATTCATTTATAAAGAAATAACTTAAACTATGAGCTCTTCTGACAAGGGTTCGTATATTTTTACCTAATAGTCTTTGATTGAAGGGATTCCACAACCTTATATTTTTATTTTTCATTTCAAGGACCTCAAGAGAAAAATATTGTCAGTTTAATATTTATCCACATGAGGGTGCCATAAGATCATGTAGGTATCAAAATTTCTAAGATTTAAAAGAAAACCTATTGCCAACTAAACAGGGATTTGTAAATTACCATATAGAATCATTTAAAGACAATTGTATCTCTTACACCTCCATTTTTTAGTTACTTTTAACTGTCTTGAGGATATTATTTTAATGTAAATCAGTTCATATTTTACTGCCTAGGATTGTTTGTTCAGTAATTTTGAATTACTTTTTCTAAGATCCTGTACAATGCCAGGGCAGAGAATGGGTCAAGTTCTTGGCATTTACATCATAATCCATGTATCATGAACAGCATACATAACACTTCCAGAGATGTCCAATGCTTAACTATACGCATTGCCCATTCTCAGCCAGCCATTTCCCCATGTTTTTCCTTGTTTACATAAAGGATTTGGAAATAATATGAGGATATTTTAGAACAAATTCATTATGATTGTTGAAAAGTACAGTTTAAAGATTTATGGTAATGCTCACATGGAGTAGGTCAGGATGCTTATTTCAGGTACTTTGTCATGACTGCTTATGAAGATTCAAACTTACAAGCTTCTTAGAGTCCCATTCTGTGAAAATGCCTGAGAATACTATTGTCAGGGAACATTTCAGGATTATAACCTATAAAAACTGATAGTTTAATTAATGTTAAATAAATGGTATTTCTTGTCCCTGCATTCTAGATTGGTTTGATACCCATTTTTTATATGCAATGTGGGCATTTCTTTGAGAAAGAGTGATACCCATTTTAGTGAAATGGGAGTCAATACAGGATTTTATGTATATTCTCCGTATATATTATATACTAGAGGCCCAGTGCATGAAATTCTTGTGGGGGGCGGGGGTGGTGGTGGTGGTGGTTCAGAAGGTTCAGAAGGAAACCTGTAAGTAGGTCTTATTTTCGGAGGATGTCTTATTTTCAGGGAAACAGTATATAAATGGAACAACGATTCTCATCAATAAAAATATCTATTGTTATGTTAACATCTAAAGATATTCGTAAACATTTTCTTAAAATGGGTAATACACTTGATTTAATTACTAAGTACATAGTGAAAGATGTTTAGATTACACATTTGCTACCATTTAAAGTAGTTATTTGTATTCTATTTAAAGTTCTTATTCAGGGTCATCCAGTCATTTGGTTGTCCCTCACTAACCCCTCTGCCAACCTGATCATAGACAGCCATCTTGTTAGGGTATGAGGTTAATTTGCATATTACCTCTTTATTATATAGGATTATAGACATTTATAAATATACAGATAACTACTGTTTTAGAAGCAGCTTTCAAAGATTTTAAAAAACTTTCTTAATGTGGAAGTCCAATATGTCAAACAGATAATGAACTATTCTTGTTGAGTCTGTGACAAGAAGATACTGAACCCAATTTATGACTTCCTTATGCATCCCCCTCCCCCAGCCTATTCACACACTGATAGATAGCTGTAGAGGTTCCTTTAAGGAATATCTCAGATTTGTTAACAGACTATTTCTTCAGAGAGGTTTCAATATCATTGATTGTGTTTCAGCTTGTTATAATCATACTAGGTGCATGAAATTCATGCACTTGGGAGGGGTCCCTCACCCCAGCCTGCCCCCTCTCACAGTCCAGGAGCCCTCAGGGGATGTCCTACTGACAGCTTAGGCCCACTTCCCGTGGGGAGTAGGCCTAAGCCACAGTCTGGCCTCCTTCTGCAGGAGGTGATTGGGTGATCAGGGGAAGGCACCACCCCCATCATCCTGCTGCTGCCACTGCTGGCCGCTGCAGCCACCAAGGTGTTTTCATCAACATGGACTCCAGTACTTTCACCATGAAAAAATGATAACTTTCTTTAGGCATTTTTAAGATATCTCTTTCATAGGATATGACCCTTCCTTCCTTCCTTCCTTCCTTCCTTCCTTCCTTCCTTCCTTCCTTCCTTCCTTCCTTCCTTCTTTCCTTTTTTCTTTTCTTTTCTTTTCTTTTCTTTTCTTTTCTTTTCTTTTCTTTTCTTTTCTTTTCTTTTCTTTTCTTTTCTTTTCTTTTCTTTTCTTTTTTCTTTTCTCTTTTCTTTTCCCTTTCCTTTCCTTTCCTTTCCTTTCCTTTCCTTTCCTTTCCTTTCCTTTCCTTTCCTTTCCTTTCCTTTCCTTTCCTTTCCTCCCCTCCCCTTCCCTTTCCCCTTCCCCTTCCCTTTGTCCTTCCCCTTCCCCTTCTCCTTCCCCTTCCCCTTTCCCTTCCCTTCCCTTTTCCTCACCTGAGGATATTTTTCTATCGATTTTTAGAGACCGTGGAAGAGAGAGGGAAAGACAGAGAGGAACATCAATGGGGACACTTCGATAGGTTGCTTCCTGCATGAGCCCTGACCTGGGCCCTGGCCAGGGAGGAGCCTGCAACCTAGGAACATGTCCTTGATCAGAATCGAACCTGGACCCTGCGGTCTGCAGGCCGAGGCTCTATCCACTGAGTCACACCGGCTAGGGCAGGATATGACATTTTTTCGCTCCTCCAGCATCAGAACTTTGTCTTTTCCTCCATGAATAAGGTGGAGGAAAAAACCCTAGATCACCTTCTTGGATTCTTATTATCCAAGTTACCAAGAACACTATGAGTGGTGTTCAAGGAGCTTAACCAATGAGCTGTAAGAAAAGGTGTTTCCTCTGTAGCTCATGCACAGAGGCGGGACTGCTGGTATGCTATCTCCCAGCAATGCAGGTCCCCTTGTGTGTTGTGTCTCTTCTCTGCGCCCATCTGCACGTGCAGCCTCCTCCTGAGCC